ATTTTGTATGAAAAATCAAGTAAAAATCTCTGTGGATTAAATTTTCAGGATGTCTAACAGAAAATAGCAGTCTGAGTATTTTCAGATTGATATCAGTGCAGGACTAAAGAAATGTGCTTATTTTAATGAAAATTTAAATAAGAAAAAAGAGAGGACAGATTAAAAGCATAAGAAATTAAAATTAATGACAAAAATATTCTGCAAATATGGTTTCTAACCAACAGCTCCTAAAAGAGCATTTTCCAACTTCCTAATAAAATACTTGACTCTTTGCAACCCCATGGACTATACAGTCCATGGAATTCTCCAGGTCAGAACACTGAGTGGGTTCAGTTGAATTCAGTCGTTCAGTCGTGTCTGACTCTTTGCGACCCCATGAACCGCAGTACGCCAGGCCTCCCTGTCCATCACCAACTGCTGGAGTCCACCCAAATCCACGTCCACTGAGTCAGTGATGCCATCCAACCATCTCATCCTCTGTCGTCCCCTTCTCTTCCTGCCCTCAATCTTTCCCAGCATCAGGGTCTTTTCAATGAGTCAGCTCTTCGCATCAGGTGGCCAAAGTATTGGAGTTTCAGCTTCAACATCAGTCCTTCCAATGAACACCCAGGACTGATCTCCTTTAGGATGGACTAGTTGGATCTCCTTGCAGTCCAAGGGACTCTCAAGAGTCTTCAACACCACAGTTCAAAAGCATCAATTCTTCGGCGCTCTTTATACTCCAACTCTCACATCCATACATGACCACTGGAAAAACTATAGCCTTGACTAGACAGACCTTTGTTGACAAAGTAATGTCTCTGCTTTTTAATATGCTGTCTAGGTTGGTCATAGCTTTTCTTCCAAGGAGTAAGCGTCTTTTAATTTCATGGCTGCAATCACCAGCCGCAGTGATTTTGGAGCCCCCCAAAATAAAGTAAGCCACTGTTTCCACTGTTTCCCCATCTATTTGCCATGAAGTGATGGGACCAGATGCCATGATCTTAGTTTTCTGAATGTTGAGTTTTAAGCCAACTTTTTCACTCTCCTCTTTCACTTTCACCAAGAGGCTCTTTAGTTCTTCTTCACTTTCTGCCATAAGAGTAGTGTCATCTGCATAAATGAGGTTATTGATATTTCTCCCAGCAATCTTGATTCCAGCTTGTGCTTCTTCCAGCCCAGTGTTTCTCATGATATACTCTGTATATAAGTTAAATAAGCAGGGTGACAATACACAGCCTTGACGTACTCCTTTTCCTATTCGGAACCAGTCTGTTGTTCCATGTCCAGTTCTAACTGTTGCTTCTTGACCTGTATACAAGTTTCTCAAAAGGCAAGTCAGGTGGTCTGGTATTCCCATCTCTTTCAGAATTTTCCACAGTTTATTGTGATCCACACAGTCAAAGGCTTTGGCATAGTCAATTAAGCAGAAATAGATGTTCTTCTGGAACTCTCTTGCTTTTTTGATGATCCAGCAGATACTGGCAATTTGATCTCTGGTTCCTCTGCCTTTTCTAAAACCACCTCGAACATCTGGAAGTTCACGGTTCACATATTGCTGAAGCCTGGCTTGGAGAATTTTGAGCATTACTTTACCAGGGTGTGAGATAAGTGCAATTGTGCGTGTTTGACCATACTTTGGCATTACCTTTCTTTGGGATTGGAATGAAAACTGACCTTTTCCAGTCCTGTGGCCACTGCTGAGTTTTCCAAATTTGCTGACGTATGAGTGCAGCACTTTCACAGCATCATCGTTTTCCAGGGGATCTTCCCAACCCAAGTGAACCCAGGTCTCCCTCATTGCAGGATTCTTTACCAGCTAAGTCACCAGGGAAGCCCAATAAGATACCCAGGAAAATAGAAAAAATAAATGAAAAAAAACCCTACACTATCAGTCAAAACTAAAGGGGTAATACCGACCTTCTCCAAAAGGACTTATGGCAGCATGCTGCACCTCCCAGGACTGCTGCTGCCAGTGCCTCTGACTTCGCAGCAAGCCGCCATCAACCCAAGCCTCTGCCAGACACTCCCAAATACTCAGAGCAGAAGATGAGTGCACACCCTTCTACACCACCCTCGTGCTAACCAAAATGATCACGTGGATCACAGTTTTGTGTAACTCAATGAAACTGACAAGGAAATATTTCATTCAAAGATGGACACACTAAGGACAGAAACAGCACGGACTTAACAGAAGCAAAAGATATTAAGAAGAGGTGGCAAGAATACACAGAAGAACTGTACAAAAAAGGTCTTAATGACCCAGATAACCACAATGGTGTGATCACTCACCTAGAGCCAGACATCCTGGAGTGTAAAGTCAAGTGGGCCTCAGGAAGCATTACTAAGACAAAGCTAGTTGAGGTGATGGAATTCCAGGTGAGCTATTTCTAATCCTAAAAGGTAATGCTTTTAAAGTACTGCACTCAATTTGTCAGCAAATTTGGAAAACTCAGCAGAGGCCACAGGACTGGAAAAGGTCAGTTTTTATTCCAATCCCAAAGAAAGACAATACCAAAGAATGTTCAAACTACCACACAATTGCACTCATCTCACATGCTAGTGTGAATTCTACACTTTTTATATGTTGACAAGTACTAGTACTGGAATAAACCATTTTTACGCCAGGTGGAATACTGTATCAGTGTCCAGTTAGTCCAGTGGTCCTCAAAGATTTTGGTCTCAGGACTCCTCTACAGCCCCCCAAAATAGTGAGTAGATGAATGGTTGCCAGGGGTTTGGGGAGGGCTGACTACAAAGGCGTAGGGAGGAATCTGGGATGGATGATGAAACTCTTCTATATCTTGACTGTGGTGGTAGGTACATGACTGTATGTCTGTCCAAAATAACAGAATTTTATATTTAAAGGAGTGAATATATGTAATTTAAACCTTTCAAAAGTCTGACTCAAAAAAAAAATTTTTTTTTGAAGATCCCAAAGAGCTTCTGTTTATTCGAGCTACCAATATCTAGCATATTAGAAATTATAAATGAGAAAAATCAGGGCTTCCCTGGTTGCTCAGTGGTGAAGAATTCGCTTGCCAATGCAGGAAACACAGGCTGATCCCTGATCGGGGAAGAGCCCACATGCCACAGAGCATCTAAGCCCCTTTGACACAACTATTGAAACTGTGCCCTGGAGCCTGGGAGCCACAACTTCTGAAGCCCGTGTGCCCTACAGCCTGTGCTCTGCAACAAGAGCAGGCACTGCAGGGAAACCCGCACCACAACTGGAGAGGGGCCCCGGCTCGCTGCAGCTAGAGAAAGCTCATGCAGCAACAAAGGCCACACACAGCCAAAAATAAATAAATAAAACTATCAAAAAGTTTTAAATGACAAAATCTTTAGTTTTTTATGTATTCATTTTTAAAATAATAAATGCACTTAATGTTGAAACAAATAATGCATTCTTCATGAAAAATAACTATTTTCCAAAGCAAAAAATATTTAGTGAGAAAAGTCACATTTTTTGAGTCAGTCTCTCTAATGTCTTCCTTCAAATAGGAAACAGCTGGATTCTCATATCTGCTTCTGCATTCAACCTGTTACAGTATGACAGGTCATTTGGCCTCTGGAAAACTCCATTGTATACTTGTAAGAAAATGAGTGTGAAAAAGACAACACCTGCATATTATTACAAAAATAATTTTGAGCTGGAAATGTCAGGAACCCCTGGGGTTCCTGGACCATACTAGGAGAAGCTCTGATCTAACCTATACAAGAAAATATCAAGTATTAAATATGATAAAGTAATAAAATATACTTATTTTCAAATCAAGTAAAGTGTCTCTTATGATTATCTATTCCAATTTAATACACTACTATTTCCTTTATCCAGGTCAAAACTTCTATCAAACAATGATTTAGACTGAGCTACCAATCTCAATTTAAATGAAAAACATTTCAGAGGTCCATGAGTTTAAAAAAAAAAAACCACCAAAGACTTCCCTATAGGTCCAGTGGTTAGGACTCCAGGCTTCAAAATGCAGGGGGTGCGGTTTCCATCCCTAGTTGGGGAACTAAGATCCCACATGCAGTGTTGGTTCGGCCAAAAAATTAAAAATCACTTTTAAAAAAAATGTTAAATGAAAAATCAGACCATAAGAGGCACAGCATCATCCTGGAGCCTTCACTCACTGACTGTAGGACAGTGCATATCAAAGGCAGCATCAACATGGAGAAAGTAAGGCAAAGAAAATACCTGACCTCGGAAAAAAGAAGAGAGCACAAAATGAAAAGGTAGGCAGAACAACTGCAAAAGTCAAGCAATACAGGAGCAAACATATCCTGAATGAAAAATACAAGAAAAAACAAACATTGCTCCCTGTAATGCACTTAAAGGAACTCAAAACTCTGTTTTAAGACCACATACCCATTCTACTGGCAGTGAAACTACACCAAAGCGCTCTTCTTATGCAATGTCACTCATATGACCGCCCAGCGGGAATCCACTTTCCTCTCAGCAACCAGTGTCTAACATGCTAAGCAAGGTGGGAGACCTTCGCGTTACGGGGAATGTAGCGGGTGCCTACTTGAGGCATTTTATTTCAGTGTTTACACAACTTTCAGAACCAGAGAGCAGTCCAGAACGAGTTACTAGTCCAAGCGACGAAGTCAGACCTGCTGTCTGCGGGAGCTCGGTTCCCAGGTCATTTAAAAATACTTCCCAAGAAAGAGGGGGAACCGCCGGGAGACGGCGCCACCCCAGGGCGAACGAGGGCAGTCCTGGACTGCCAAAAGTGGCTGCGGCCGCCCTTCACCTGTCCCGGCAGTCCCGCCCGCGGCAGTGGGGCGGCCCCGCACTCCTCCCCGTGATTCCTCTGGCGGGGTCCGGGGCCACCTTCCTCCGCGGCCTCAGTTTCCCCTTCTACACGGCGGTCAGACGGGCCCCTTCTCCATGGCGCCCCTCTAACTTGACTCCAGGACTCCCGGCGCGAGGCAGGTCGGCCGCTCACCCCGCTCAGGCCGTCCCCGCAGTGAGTGGTCCCTGAGGGGGACGATCCTCGGCGCCCAACACTCACCCGGCTGATGCTTCAACGCCATCACCGACACCAGGTAGTGGGCGATGTCAAAAAAGGGGAACATGGAAGTGCGAGAAAAGGCAAGGGTCAGCTCATTCCACGGAGAGTCCATCGCGACTACCGACCGCCGCAGCCGAAGCAGCCGCGGAGACGGGTTCCCGGCGTGCGCGGCGAGGGGTGGGGGAGGGGACGGCCGCGGCCGCGCGCTCCTCGACGCGGCCTCCCGGAGACCTGCGCGTGCGCCCTGGCTCAAGACGCTGGCGCGCGGAGGGGCGGGGCCGGGTGTCCCGGGAGTCTCGGGCGCGCGGGCGGTTGGCGGGTGAGCGGGATGAGCCGGCTGCACCCCACTGCCGAACCTTGTTCTCCTAATAAGGGCCCGGCATCTTCTCGGTGCAGGGGGCTTTGCCAGATCTGGTGAATGGGCAGATGAATGCAACATAAGTAATGAATAAAAAATGCATTACTTCTGTTAACATTTAGTTCATTTGTTATTTTTAAAACGAATAAAGAACTATTTTAAATGTTTCTTAGTTATTTCTAATATGCTAAGTACTGATAAATGAAACCCACATAAAGTCGCAGGACTCTGGGATCCTTTATAATTTTTTTTAAGGCAGCTTTTTAAAATTTACATACATTTTATTCACCCTTTTTAGTATAAAGTTCTATAATTTTCGATAAACGCAGTCCACAAGAGGAGACGCTCAGAGTTGTGCGTCGTAAGTCACTTCAGTCGTATCCGACTCTATGTTGACCCCATTAACCGGAGCCCACTAGGCTTCTCTGGCCATGGGATTCTCCAGGCAAGAATACAGGAGTGAGTCACCAGCCCTCCTCCAAGGCATCTTCCCCACCCAGGGATCAAACCCACTCTCTTATGTCTCCTGCATTGGCAGACTGGTTCTTTACTACTAATCTTACCAGGTGACCTTGCACCAGACTAAGGAAAAAAAGCAACTGGTGATTATTTACATTTTGATGTTTCAGTGTGTTCTTTACACAGTTTTTATACATTTCTTTATCTTTGGAATTTTAGTATTGTGAATTTAGGGGCAGAACTTGGATGTTATTTCCCAAAATTTTACTTTTAATGTCTTAAACTCCACAAAGTATGTGTTTTGTCCTTGGACTTAAAATACTATAATATCTCTAAATCATATGTCTATGCCAACATCACTCTGAGGCATAATTAAATTCATTACTAACACCAATAGGGCAAGAGTGAAAAGCACTAGAATTTTTTTTTTAAGATATATCATTTTTCTTACCCTAAACATTAATTCCAAAAGAAAATAACTGATCATTTCAGACTCTACAAGTAATCTGAAACTTGTTTTATTTCAAAACTAAAAATATGCTAGATCCCCCCCCCCATCTGCCTAGAGCCTAAAGAAGTTTTTTTAATCTAAGAGAAGCGAAATCATAACCTCACAAAAAGACACCTTCTATCTACATTTTAACTGTGCTCACCGTATTTGCTTCTGGTCAGTGCTTCAGTTGTTCTAATGAAATGGGTGGAAAAGAATGAAGCAGGCAATGAAAGGAGGGGAGACTTTAAATTGGTAACAGGGAAAGGCAAGATTTGAGGAAATTATTCGTGAAAATTAAAACCTGCCCTGACTTTCGGAAAGAAAGAAAGTGAAGTCGCTCAGTCGTGTCCAACTCTTTGGGACCCTGTGGACTGTAGCCCGCCAGGCTCCTCCATCCGTGGGATTCTCCAGGCAAGAATACTGGAGTGGGTTGCCATTTCCTTCTCCAGGGGATCTTCCCAACCCAGGGATCGAACCGGGTCTCCTGCATTGCAGGCAGACACTTGATCCTCTGAGCCACCAGGGAAGCAGTTTACAAAGTTACATAATTATTGCAGATAAAAGAAATCCAAATTATAAAAGTATTGCTTATATAATAGAATGCAAAACTGGCCTAATCATATGAAATCTGGAAAAGAGTTTTGACTAAACATATTCGAAGCATTTTTAGTACAAAAACATGTGAAACTAATTGTCATACACCAAGTTTTTCAACAGCAATGCTCTTGATATTTTGGGCTGAATAATTTGTATTCCTATGGGATATCTTATGGAATGTTGAACAGCATCCCTGTCCTCTACCCACTATTAATAAATGCCAGTAGCTCGCACGCGCGCACGTACACACACACACACACACACACACACACACACTGTGACAACCAAAAATGTCTCCAGAATTGCCAAATGTCCCTGAGGCAGGGGGTGGGAGGAGAGCAAAAAAGTCCTAGTTCAGAATTACTTGATAAAAAATGAATTTTGGACCGCATGTTCCATAATGCATATACAAACATAATCAATATGCATCTAATATTAATCATCAAGTTAATTCTGCATAACTTGATCATTTATCCCCTGGACCAAGTTGGCAGCATCTCAAAACCCAGCACCACATAGGTGTACATGTGCATGTGTGATCACTTAGTCAGTTGTATCCAGCTCTTTGGGACCCCATGGACGGCAACCCCCAGGCTCCTTAGCCCATGGAATTTTCCAGGAAAGAATACTGGAGCGGGTACCGTTTCCTACTCCACAGGATCTTCCTGACGTGGAGGTCGAAACTGCGTCTCTTGTGTCTCCTGCACTGGCAGGGGGATTCTTTATCTCTAGCGCCACATGGGAAGCCCACCACAAAGGTAGCTACTAATCTGCAATACTGCTTTCTATCCACTGAGTGGCATGCCTTTCACTTTGGGAAGTCATAACAATAACTTTTTAAAAACCATGAAGTGTCCATGATGAGGAAGTTTCACATTAGAGGAGCCAATTTCACTTCTAATCTTTAGTATCTGGTTAGGTATTTTCATTCTAAAGTTATTTTTATAGGGATTTGATAACTATGCATTTTCAAATTATAGTATAATAATGTATGACATTTAAGACAAAATATGTTTAATTTTAATTCTACTTTTTAATGGTCCGCATTATCAAGGAGGATTAACTAAAGAGCATCAATTGCCCTGAATTCAATCAGTACAATGAAATGCTGGCAAATGAGATTTAAGTGATAAACCAATTGAATTATATATTCAACTCTTTAGATTCAGTGTGTATCTAATAGTACGCATTAATGTGGTGACTTGAAAATAATAACTTGGCTTACATTTCTTACACTGGAAACTAAAATCTTTTTCTGTAAACATCATTTACACCTGTAACATAAACTATTACACTAAAAATATTCTCCATGTGTAACAAGTACAAATTTACCTACTTAACGATCTGATGTTATTAAAAGGGCTATCTCTAGTGTTCATCAGTGTAAGGACTGCCAAAACTGCAGTCACCCACTGGTGCCGTGGCCGCCGGATGTCTATGGTTACCGGTCCTTCAAGTTAGTATTCATCTCTGTTCAAGAGTATCAGGTACCATTAAATCAAAGGATAATAGAATTGTGCAAGCTGAATGGACTCTTTAAAAAAAGTAACTTTGGTTGTGAGTCAAATAAAACAGTTCTGAACAGTTTAAACAAAGTGAGGGATTTACTGAAAGGCTACCAGGGAATCAGCCATCAATCCCCCAAAAGAATTAGAACAAAAAGTTGGGCATTTCTGAGGCTGGCAGCAGCAGGTGGGTGTGGGCTGCTCTTAGTTACTAACGATAGTCAAGTCAACATTGTTTAGTCTCTGTGTCCCCAATTCAATACTGCCAGGAAAGAAAGCCTGCTCTCTCCTGGGACAGATGCCCTCTCCTGGTTAATCACCTCGGAGGGATACTGGGTCACTTCCCTAAGTATCGGAGGCAGTGTCCTGAGAATGGATGGAGTCACACAGCCATCACAAGAGGTGTCTATTACAATCATTTTTAGGCCATTTATTTCAGAGAAGGCAACTCAGAGGTAGAGAGAGATCACAAAGGCAGGCAGTGACAGACCAGGATTTGTTATTATCTTGTTATAATCAATCTCCCTACTGGGCTTTCTCTGGTCCCATACAACCCAAATGGTTCTCCTAAAGTTGCCTTTTACTGACAGATCTAGCATCCCCACAGCAATGAAAAGGCTACCAGATGAGAGCAAGAAAGACCTACTAGGAGTCAGGGCTGTGGGTCAACAGCCAGGATTAAAGGAGTTTGTAGTTTCCAGCATAACCAGTGTGTTGAAGAGGCTGGACTCAGTGAGGCCATCAGGAAGTGGATTTATTATCCTCCAGACAAAGCCCCCAACCTTTATCCTTATGTCAGCAAATTCCATGACTTCCTCATCATTTAAGATACTAAAAAGTTAAAAGTCCAATCCAGTTAAAATGTCAATGTTGCATCTAATTCAGAGCTTTTCCCCAGTCCCTCAGCTCAGGTCTGCCTGGCCCAGAGCCTTGCAGTGGGGGAAAGGGGCATGGGGTGGTCTTTCAGCCTTTCCTGATCTTCTGTCCCTTATGCCTTCTGTGTCCCCCAGGGTCAAGTTATCAGATAAGGAAATTACAGAAAAGGAACAAAAGGCTTTCTAGTTCTCAAGTGTTTGTTATAGTTTTTTTTTTTCTTTTTGCTATAGATACTCTCTACAGCAGGCTCCCAGAGCTGACTCATTCATGGGGTACATCTGTGAGTGTCACAAAGATACATGGACCTCTGGATAGCAAGTTTTCCCCATCACCTGAAGTTATGGCAAATACCATCAGATGGCTAACCCAACAGGCATATCCAACTTTGTATGCTGAGTTAAAACATTAATGTTTTTTCCAGTCTCTCAGCAAGGGGTGGCCATGTGTTAGAATATTGGCAAATGAAAATTAAGTATATCTGTTTGACATGCTTCCAAAGACAAAGTGAAGAAGAATGAAGTTGAAGGACTGACACCACACAATCTTTTTTGTTGTTGTTGTTGTTTTGTTTTTTGTTTTTTTTCATTTATTTTTATTAGTTAGAGGCTAATTACTTCACAACATTGCAGTGGGTTTTGCCATACATTGACATGAATCAGCCATGGAGTTACATGTATTCCCCATCCCGATCCCCCCTCCCACCTCCCTCCCCACCCCATCCCTCTGGGTCTTCCCAGTCCACCAGGCCCAAGCACTTGTCTCATGCATCCCACCTGGGCTGGTGATCTGTTTCACTACAGATAATATACATGCTGTTCTTTCAA